GAATGAAAGATGTGTGACGTAGGTTTGCTCCACGCAAAACTAAATTATTCACTCCCAGAGGAACCGATTCTTTGCCATACATAAAACTGCCTTCAAAGGCACTCAAGTCTTCACACGGATCCTGACATTTAATTACTGATGACGGAAGATCGATTTTCACATTGTCAAAATGATCCTGTCTAAGTTGCTCCACCGCAGAAGCCAACGCCGACTGTGTGCAGGCTAATGTATTTCTCGTTTTAATGCCAGATTCTCCATCAAGGTTGTCTGTTGTTATAAAAACCTTTCCACTGGAATTGCTTGATGCAAGAAGAAGCAGATCACAAGGAAATGAGTCGCCTTCTCTGCAGACGACGATGTCACCACACCGAATGTCTTCTGAATGGCGATCCTCCCAATTTGACACGTTTTCACTTGGGTGGTGAACTAGAGTCAAAAAGGGACAACTGTTAAATTTATGATCAGTTCTATGGCGCTTCACATCATCAATCGCATCCTTGATCATTGAAATACCGATGACGACAACCAGTGGTCCGATTGTTGTCAATGGATGAATTGGAGTCTCACCGAAAAAATACAGTATTGAAATCAAAAGAAAGAAAAAATTCGCGATGATGTGAAACTGCTCGTATAAATTGACTGGCAAAAAATTCCACCATTTGTAATGAGACGATATTATTCTGTTTCCACAAAATCGTCCGTTTGCATGTCGAGCCTCTTCATATTCACTGGACAAGTGATTAAGTTTTATTTCTCTTCCGTCATTGGTGTCCTTGTTGCGTGACCTTTTAAAAAGTCGCATATTGCGAAATAAATAACAACACCTGCAAGCATTCTCAAACTTATATTAAATAGGAGCGACGCGTGACCTTGCGAAGTTTGAGATTACGTGAATAATTTGAAGTCATGATCGTTTAAAAAGGTTAGAATTTCATCTGCTTCCACAATTTTTTTTACTACATTTTAGCGTTGTATTATTTTAACACAGTTGTACTGGTAACTGCATTGACGCAGAGGGTTACTTATGGCAATGGTTCCGAGTCCATTTTTAAAGATTTTTCACTTGCTGCGTGAATATTCAAATGAATTAAATAATTGGCTAATACAATTTAAAAATGCGACAGCATTTACTTTTGATAAAGCGGTTCCATTCTTTGTGCTGTTAGTTTAATGTCTTACTGCAAGTAATGAACCTCATCAGATTTAATTCAACTAAGTTCAGTTTCCTTATATAAGTGGCATAAACAATGATTTCTTTTAATCTATAATTCGAATAGTGACATCGGTAAAAAAAACCTTCCTGCGTACACTTGGTTAAAATGTGTATAATCATGTGACATAATCCCAACTTTTGTAGCAATGTGGGTAATAAATAATGTTAGCTTGGTGAAGGGAAAACATCATATTATGGAGCTTGATGTTATTAAATGTCATAAAATTGTGTCAAGCTGACAAATACCACCCTACCCGGTTTTAATGGATTTCTTATGAACGCCAAAATGCATTTATTACTCGACTAATTTGCCAACGTTTCTTCGTGCATGACTTGTACTGATATTCCGGTATGATGCACTCAGTAAATTTAACTTTTGTTTGCCTACTTGAAAAGATGTATTTTCTACCTTTTTAACTTTAAATTGTCTTCTCTAACGAAATAATGAAGGGATGATAACCACTTTCATTAAGCATAGAAATATATAATTTGTATTTCAAGCACTGGATTAAATTATGAACTGCCCTAACTGTATTTGAAATGCTGAAAAACAAGAAGTAATATTTTAAAAATGAAATAAGCCCTCTAATTAGCAGGCCCTTTGCAGTTGCGTAAAAACTATTTTTAACTAATCAAATAATTATTACATCTTAATTACAGTGAAAAAACAGCACCAATTAACACTTTTAAAAATATATGGCTTGGCAAAATGGGTACATTTGAATGCAAAATTTATATATTTTCTTTAACCTTACATATTTGTTTTAGTATCTTTTCAACAGGCGCGTACTGTTAAACTGTTTAGGCTTTATTGTCAGTATGGTTGTTTCTGTGTGATTTATGTCGGTCAGTTATTTCGTGACCTGAGGCATTTTACTGTACAGCCTTGTAAGAAACAGTGGAATATATTTCATATTGTTTTCTTATACTTGCAAGAAGGTCTCTGAATCGTTATGTCAAAACAACGCAAATTTGTCCTTCAATTGTCTCACAATGGGGTCTTCGGCTCAAAGACCAATGAAGGTGTGGTTCCTCCAGACGATTCATTTTCAAACTTTGTAAGTTTTTTTGCCTTACTAAGATTGTTTTTCGCCTTTGACCTTACCAGTGTTATCACCAGTATTTCATTGACCATGCTCCCAATTTTATGTCCACAAAAGTTCCTACTGACCAGATTTTCTACACTTTGTTCTCGTGTTTATTGATATAGCCTCATAGCACAAGCAGATTACACACGCTGATCATTAAATCGTGATGGTTTTGCAATTTCTCGTCTTTTATTTATTATTATTTTTCATTATCAAAAGAAAATTTCCAGCATTAGTGAGCCTGTCGATTACGAACAGTACCTGGTGCGGAACAAGGCCTCCATCATGAATGATCCTCACAGGGACTTAGTATTATTTCCTCCGGATGATGTTAAAGTGAGTTCTGTTTATGCATTTGTGACATCTATGTTGATAGAAACAACTTTTAAACAAGTGTTCGTAATTTTATGTTTATGTATACGTATAAGTGCTCCAAGATATGAAAAGTCCATCATTTTAGATAGTTGTCATGTTTCAGTATCCTACTATCAAAATTGTGTTTTGCTTCCAAAGCTTGACAACGTCAGCGAGCAACTTCCTTACTTCAATTGCAAACACTTGTGCTAAGTTTCAGTTTATTGGTCTTGATATTTCGAGTATCCAAAAGTCATAAATTTAGGTCATGCTTTGTATTTTTTGAATCCTCGTTGTAATTGTAATGCGTAAGACAATTGTTGTCTATTAAGAAGCTGTCTATCAAATTTACAAAGCACTCACAATCAACAATCCAAAATACCAGAATGTTAAAGGCAGTTATAAGTGTAATACTACAGCTGTATTTTATCAATGACCTCATAAAAGGAGGAAAACTGATTCAGAAAAAAATGTACATTAAGGGTAGAAAAGTTGATTGGACTTGCAGCTTGCCTCGACGTGTTGCTATTCTAATTTGTTACTCTTTAAATAGGGGATGAGTATACGAGCTTCGTTACGTCCCCACTTCCATTTTAGGCGCCATTATGTTACTTATGCCTTGCAGAAATAAATTAATTAATTACCTTCCCATGATCTTAGCGATGTCTTCTCATATCACCCTTTTTCGCTTCCATTTAGATAGTAAAATTGAAGCGCAACTCATTTGGCCTTATTGGCGGCTCACCTCCAAGTGCTAGCATCGTTGAATTGACAAAGGCCAGTTCTCTGGCTCGCCACGTAGAGGGAACTTGCTTGCCGCCCAGTTGGTCCCTTCTTCAAGAACCCTTTGTCAGATTCCGCGGCTCCTTCTGTGACCTTCCTAAAGACCAGTAAGTCTAGATTTTGGTAGGTGACTTGATAACTTGCACCCCTGAACATCCGTTTTGTGCATTTTGAAAATTAATCTTAACGTGCGTTTATTCTAATTTTGTCAGTAAAATTGAGTCCTGATCTACTTATAAATGGCCTTCCATAGAATAAGACCAAGTTGTTAATAAATATTTTCAAAAAAATTGACGTAATTGGTTAGTATCGAAAATGGCTTTTTATACGTTTCATACTTATCACTTCAGCCAAAGCTAGTAACGAAAGCTATAAAAGGATTTTGGCCCGTTGTAGCCGCTTTGCCTTGATCATTGCAATCAATCACGAAAGTTTTTGCGCCGTTTTAAACAGCTCGAGACAAGACATCATTAGGCGTTTGCGTCTGATAACGAAATTAACCAAGGTAAAGTAAAGTCTTTCCGCCGACTCCTTGCGAATATTATCCAAAAAAATCACTTTTCAAGTAAATCGGTTTGCAATCGTCCAGGGCAAATGATGGTTATTAGATTAGTCGACAAACCGGCTATGTGAACATGGTGGCCGCAGGTGATGGGTGTACATTACAGGTCGTTTTATGGTCCTTTGGCCCCATATGTAGCCACGAATTCACTCACAGACACTCATCTACAGTCCCTTCTAAGAAATCCTTTCAAGTCAACTTGGTGGTAAGCTTGAAGTCATGTGTGACAAGCCCGTCATGGATTCGAGCACGTGACACTGATTGGTCTGCGTAACAGCCGATTCTTATGCTGATATTGCATAAGGCAACAGTTGACAGCTCCGTATCCCCGTTGCTGCCCTAGCTTTGCTGCCGTCAAACCTTAATTGACATTGGCAGCAAGTGATGTCTTTGTGCGATAGCTCGTCACCCACCAGCCTCATTTGTAGCGCCTATGTCATGACATGTCTAGATTAAAGATGTGATCACCTGTTGTGTGTTCGTTCAGTGGGCCCTTGTCGCCCTTAAACTCCCCCTTAGCCACACCAAAGGTAACCCTTTTGGTTCGATTTCAGATCATTGGGCAGGTGTCGCATTACGCAACCAGCAGTACCGTCTTAATTTTTGTTCCACTCTTCTGGTGGCTGTTAGTGTGACTGTCTGTTGGTACCAGCAAAACCATTCTCAACACGTTGTTGAAATCGTTGTAAGAAGAATGGCTCCAACCGTTTCAGGATTGTGGCCTCCTTCACGCTGCTAAAATTGTGGCTTCGCAATAAGTCTTTACCTCCCAATGGGAAACTCTTACTTAACAGACTTTTCAACCATTGAATTAGAATGGATAAATCGCCCAAAAATAAATCCATTTATTTTTTTTGTGGACTGTTAAACTTAAAATCTCACCTGCTGCAGTGACTAATTATGGCCATCTTTGGCCATATCAAAAAAATTGGTGGTTCTTGTGCCCATTTCATCACCTGTTTTTTTTGTGATTTTCCCTATATTAAAAAATCGGATTTGCTCTCCAGATTTGTTTATTTTTCTCAAATTTGTGGAATGGGTGACTCTTTTCTTGGGTTCTGCATTGAAGAGATTTTTATTTATCCTAATTTTTTTTTCCAGAAAAAATGCCGAATTGATGACAGCGCCATCGGAGCAGTGGTACGCGATCGATCATGTTGAGGAGGCGCTTTCGATTAGCGGCAAAGCCATCACCACCTCCTCCTCCTCCTCCTCCACCGGCCGCCCTTACAGCACTTCTTCGTTGGCCAACTGCCCCGGCGCCGTGAGCAATGGCGGCGCCACAAGATTGTGGACGAGTGCGCGGCGTTCTGCTCTCGCCGCGATGCAGTCCGCGCGGACTGCGGAGGGTAGTTCCGCTGATTCAGGAGCGTCGTCTGGTGTCGACGGAAAGGTACTTATCTAATTCCTTAGTTGCACGACCTCAGCAGCAGGAGCCAGTCCCCCTCTATTCCCTAATCGACCATATATCTGGATTCTTCGGGTGCGGGCGAAGTCGTTGATCCATAATTGGGCCCTTTTTTCAACCTGAGTCGTTTTAATTTCACGAAACCCCAATGCAACTAGCATCGCAGGCTTCACATTGGTACACTTCTCCCAGCATCAACTCGACCATTTGTCAAATTGACTGCAGTCACGTAAGACGCAAATCAGTCACACCTTGTTTACGCGTCGCCCCATGTCTGTTCTCCATGCGCGCGCAGATAAATGTACTTCACTAATTCATGAACGTCGTGTTCCCATCGTGATCGTGATTTCGATGTTTAACTATTGCCGCTAGTTGCCCACCACACATCATTCAGCAGATGCTTTCCACGACGAATTCGCACCATACGGGCTAGGAAACAGCAAATCATTGGCAGATTGTTAATTTTCAAGCCCTGGGTGCAATATTGATGCCTGATGAAGCTTTATTTTGTGCACGCTTCCAGACTGGCAGTCAAAGGCTTGCTTTCTCGTTTTCCGTTATTAAGATTAATCAAGTATGGCTGAACGAGTGTTCTAAATGGCGCATTAGTCCCACTCATACCTCGTAACTTGTCTCACCTTACCTGCGATGCCTCACCCCTCAAGGTCTGCGAGGTGTTGGAAGTAAGTAAGGCCTGGTGGGTGTCAGACAAACGAGCCTAAGAATGACTCAGAAACCTGGCCAAACTATACCACCTTGCACCTTTTTGCGTCTTGTGGTGCCCATGTTCTCATGGCCAGGCTACTTTAAAATTTGGAAATTTGTGAGGCGTTATTTCAAAAATTCTGTTTCATTTAACATTTCTATCAGTTGTTTGTTATTAACAACAAACGAAATGTGGCTAATTTTTATTCTCATTCCCAAAATGGTCAGGAATTTGTTGTACGTCCCGATGCTTGAATCATTTTCAACGATTTGCGCGACATTTTCGACACACCTCAACCTGCGAACTCACACGCTGAACTGTGGAACTCCCCAAACTCCCGTTAAATTGCCTTAATGAAGATATTCTCGAATTTCTGTGTACTTATTAGTTTTACCACTGGTTTCAGTTAGTCGTCCTCTTTCTGCCTGCCTTTGTAGTCTTATCATAACGTCTAATTCGTTAGATTCATCACGGAATCACTGTAGTACATCAAACCACATTCCCTTCTTACCCAAGGTTTGTGAGAGTCTTGATCCTGTTGCCACCCACGGAACCAGAATGGGCTTCTGGTTAGAGCAAACGAATTCTCGTGGTGGTTGGATTTCCTTTTCAGGTTTTCGTACGCATCTCTTCATCGCTGTGGACACAATGCACTCAAGAAACACAAACTTGGCGTTCTAGACATTGTTTTCTTTCGAGTCAAATCTCAATTATGTCAGTTTGAATAAAGCACAAACTCATGCTTAATGGGTTTCAGTCTAGTCTGTGGTTATAGGAACAAGGTGTAGGGTCATCTTGTCGATAAAGCAGTACGCAATTCATTCTGTGCGTGCACATTGTCTTTTTTAGCAAATCTTGAATGCGAACGGCTGTCTGGAGGGCCTTTGCCCCCCAGTTGACTTGTCCAAATCGAGTCCCATATCTAGTTCACGGTATCACATTAGCTTTGCGAAAATGTCCGCTTTAAAGTCCTCGAACCGGTCTTTTTTGCAACCCCATTCAGCCCGGCCTAGTGGAAATTCAACTCACCCAATCGATCTCCATGTATGAGGTTGTCCCCCGTGTAGTTGTAACAACCATCTCAGCCGAACTGGGCACGGATTGGCCCATTTGAAGTAATGCCTTGGACGTACTTGTCCCTTTAGGTGAAAAACCACTTTAATTGATGGGATCGGCGTCAAATCGTTTATCATTTCTAGGTTGAGACGCCTACTTTCGTATCTAAGTTGATTTAAAGTGCTTTTTTCTGAGCCGGTCCGTCGACATTTTCGTGTGTAATGCTAACCTAGGGACTGTTAATTTGACTGAAACCGCCGTTCCTGAATTCTTTCTGGTCAGGACATGTCAAACATTCACGTTTGCTGGTTGACAGGCCTAATGAATTCCGTCAAAGCTTTTCTAACTGTCTAAGAAATAATTTGTTTCCCACAAGAGCTCTTTTTCCTGTGAGGTACTTTCTAGTTGCCGATTCTATGATTGTGTACTTACTTGGAACTTAATGTGGTTTTTCTACGCCTTTGCTATTTAGCTTTGCTAATTCCTCTCCCCCCCTCTCTCTCTATATCGATGACGTCATCTGCCTCTAATTTGTCCGAATATCAAGGCATGGCATGTGCCTAAGTAAATCCATTATCACTGCCCCGTGTAGTGTTGTACACTCGTTTCATCCAGTCAGTCGCGTAACACTCCATCTTTCGATTTTTGCCTTCCTTACAAAAGAAAGAAATGATGCATTATCCGCGGACTTTGACTTCTGGTTGTTCCGGCAGACTCGGAACAATTGACTGTCCGGCATTTGTTAGGGCATTTTCTCACGCCGAGCTAGATACTTATGTTCTCGTTTTGACTTTGTACACAATAAACATGAGCAATTCTTTTCGATGGTAATCTAAAATCCAGCAGCAAATGGTTTGCCTTGAGAGAAATTCCAGGCTTCTAATCTTCAAAGTCATATTTAAGAAAAAAAATTGATTAAATTACAAATTAGTCGTACTGAGCAGTTATGTTACTCGTTGCATCCGGTCGTTGTCGTCGTCATCGGCCATTTCTAGTACGGTCAGTTTGATGGGCAATCGATCGACTATTTTTGCTACTTTGACAGCCCGATTGAACACCTAGGGGCTTCAGATTTATCGGCTGCAATTTTTCGTGTAATTTTGGCGATTCCACCGGTTTGAGATCGCAGGTGAAATGCCATTGCTGCGAACACTTGATATCTCCAGCGCTAACCCACCCAGCTAATTAACCGGTGTTGAGTGAGTAATATTACCACATTACCTCGAGTGCCAAGCGCAATCGTGACTCTGACGGGCCACGTAATTTGCATGCTCAACCTACCTTACCAGAGTCCTTCGTTACTCCTCGCTTTAATCCGTTTTTGAGCCATTTCTATTGGCTACTTGTTCCCCCTGTTTTGCCGGTTCTCTTGACATCTCTGCTGTGCAACTTTAACACAACCTGACACCGCCTTCCCCACTGTGGTCGGATAAAAAACGCCGAGTTTCGTCGACTGATTTTAGTACTTGCTCCGGACCAACAAAACTTCACAGTCCCTGGGCCTGTGTTGAAACCGGAACAGGTGTTTCGGTGTGTGTGTGTGTGTGTGAGGTTTCCTCGTCGATCACCCTACAAATGCCCTCCTCTAGGCAACCTGAATCGAGTTGCCTGAGGTTTTCCTGTATTGTATTCTCAAGACGCATTTGTCGCAACCTCCAACTTCATCGCTTATCCCACCTAGCGTATTCCTGCCGCCTGGTAATGCGCGGTGTTGTCAGCTCGTTTATACGGCAGGGGCTGGTAATTGTTTAAGGCCAATGTGTGCACGCATGTCCTCTTTATAGAACATTATTGCTGACTACCTAGGGGACTTGATTTGAGCTTCTTTTGATCTATCGGTAGTGTAGCTGTTCATTTGCAGTCTGTTGTGTCAGTTTACATAACGAGGACACGACAACGCACCCCCGAAATGACCCTTTTATGACTGTCAACTGTCGTTTAGCAAAATCGAATGGACGATTTTTTTAAATAAAATGCAGAGGGAAGGAGGTATTGTTCAGACGTGGCAGTTTTGACCTACATCTGCGCTGTCCTTTTTTATTGCTGGAATATCAGAACAGTATTTCGATTAATTCAATCCCTAGCCAACGTAGATACTGCTTCTGTGTGTAGGTTAAATCACATTTTTGCGGAATTTCTATTGGCTTATCAAAAATGCTTGAAACTTCCTGGACCAAACATTGAGTATTATGCTTCATCGTCTTGAGTATTGCCTCGGCCTCTAAGAAACCAGGGACGTGTTGAAGGCGTGTTCGTGATGCTATTTAATGCCACCGGTCTTAGTAAATAAATACTCTAGGTTGGTGGTTAGCGATGCTGGCTCAGCACAACCTGCAATACCTCGCGGTTAATTCACAAAATACCACAAACGTTTGTTGCTGGCCTGATTTGTCGAGCCGCAGCAACTTCTGCTTGGCCAGTTAGTTTTCACGAACCAGCGTGTTTTCTGGTTAAAACGATGTGCCGCTTTCTGTGCGCTGCCAGACGCGCCTTGTTTCTGCCGAAGTAGAAAAAGGCGGTTATTAATCACACTCTTGCTGAAACGAGTGGGGAGAGAGGGGTGGGGCATCCTTGTTTGCTTTTAATGACCAAAAATCGACAGCACGTTCCCTCTAACCCCTGTCAGAGTGAAGGAGGGGTTGCTTCAATAGCGTAGGGCTTCCTCCTACCAGCCAGACTTGATGTTGAATACGCTGTCTTTCAGACGAACGCCCTCCTGCTGGAGGCTGATGTGGCCATTTGCAGCCGCGCCGAATACCAAAGCCACCAGCGGTCGCGCGAGGCGGCTCTGGCAAGCGGCGCCACCGCGACGAACACCTCGGCGTTCGTTGGGGTTCGGCCCCGTCGGCGAGTGGCACTTCGCCAACTCACCGCCGACGACTTGGCGAAGCTGCGCTACCGAAACCCCTCGGAGCACTCAACAGCCCCCAACCTGCCCCTTGGGATGTACCTCATCGCGCCCACGGACTGGGGACTTCAGCCCTCCTCCTACACTGCCATTGAGAGTCGCGATGTCATCTTCCTTGGTAAGATACCTACATTCACGTCCAATCATTTTCAACTTCTTCCCCCTCAAATTTGACCCTTCAATGCCATTGAATGTACAATTGGGACTTTTCTATTTAGCACTTATGTGTGCTGTGTAAGTTCATGGAAGCTGTTCGCGAGTTTAACCAGTCAGCTAGTACAAGATACGTTCGTAAGTCAGCCATGTGTTACCTTATTATCGTATAAACATCTTCCTGGAGCATTATTTGTACAGTTTTCCTGTGTGCCATTGGTTGCTTCGGCTAAATTCGAAATAACCCAGGCACCAATGAGAAAGGCTGTAGCTTTTCGGAACTCCTCGATAACCCAGTCGTTTCATTTGCGTCATTCACAATCCCATTTCCTCGCATGAATTATGCGTCTTCGTTTTATACCGTTGATGAGGGTTTCGTCTTGCGTAAGTTGTTCAGTGCTTTGTGTGAGCGGACCTTGAGCACTTTGACATCACCTGCATCGAAACCTTGTCCTTCGCCTCCCTGTTAATCCCTCCAAACCACTAACGTTGTTGCCTTAAGGGCATGACTGATGCTCCATGTTAGTGTAATCTATTTTAGGCGTTTCACAGTGCCCCAGAACGCTGGTAATTACCAGTTAGTGAGAGGGCCAACAACGTACTGCATGTGGCATTGCAAGGCCACAGCGTCTCTCCTTCGAGTTTTTTTCCGAAATTACTGCTGTATCTTGCTCCGTGCAGCTGCCTAGAAATTTGCCACATGGATCACTGTTTTGTGCGATCAGGACTGTTTTGAATGTGCCAACATTCCAAAATAATTCGTCTTTATTTCTACGAATGACATTTACGCACTTTATCCATATCGGTTCTGCTGCAGTGTTGTGTTAAGGTGTGATTATGCTCGTGAGTTCTCAACTTGGAATGCTTCAAACCCACTTTTTTTATATCCGCTCGGACTCTGCAACCGCTTAGTTGAGGTCGGTAGCCAGAGGTGAAACTTAGGTCAAGCCAAGGTATATTCGAGAGTAAATGGCTTGGCTGCTGCTTTATGCCTCGACACTTCAAAGCTCCATCTCACTTGATTTCTCCGACATTGCGTTGTTTTTCTTTTCCAAAGACGCAATTGATTCCGTCTCCCCGATTGGCCGTCATTGGCTTCGATTTGATCGGCACTCGGGGAGTCGAACACGGCGTATCGCGAGCGACCGTCTGGAGTCGTTCTTCTCCTCCGTCCCAGTCCAATGCAACGAGGTGTACGTTTGCTTTGAAGACAGCACCTGTCGAAATGCCTGGATCGCTTCAATTAAACTCTCCCTCGAAGCGGAGCAGGCGAGGCTGCGCCTTGGCTACTCCTCGGCTTCTGTGGCTAACGGTGACTCCACGGCGCTGATGGCCGAGGTAGCAAGTCGAAAGTGGACCATCGATGGTAAAGTGCCCGACGTCGATTCCCTTCGAAGTTCCCTCCAACGCGTACGTTTTCGGTGGCGATGCCTACCGTAATGCTGTAACTCTTTATTTCACCACTTTTCTTTGTTGCGAATAAAGCCATATTTGTGACAGTTTGCTGCTACTTAGTCGAAAATCTGACTAACTGATGATCGACCCATCTTATGCCAGTTCACCAATGAACTTCAGACAGTCTTATTTTTCTGATCTGTGGTTTGAGTTTCACGTGGCTGCAACCTCGCAACCTACTTCCGCTCTTGGCGTCTTAAATAACAGATTTATTTTTTCAATGTAATTTATCCGTTTGTAAACTTTCATCGCAGCATCTTGAGATACTTTTGGCCTGCTAACCACAACCCTTAAAGTCAAAATCGTTTGCTAATCGGCCAGGCTCTGCTTCTACTCTCTACCCGCTTCACAATTCATGTCCGTTTTTAGTTCTCTCAGGAAAACGAGTCGTTTGTCAGTCACCAGCGCCAGCAAAATCGCCTCAATCTCCTCTCCGTGTTCCCAGATGTACAGGTAAGCAATTCCGTAGTTTTATTTCCAAAAACACTTACCTAAATTAAGCCTAATTCACCAGTGAATTTCCATTTATCTACTGTAGTAGCTATCCTTTTAACTGGATCCATTCGACTTCTGGCATCTGGTAAAAATGCAAATTTGTAATTTTCTTACCACTTACCATTGCGGTTTTAAGCTGCCTATGTTGAGTCAGCCTCAACCATTCCACTCCTGTTCCTGCAACCACGCATTGACGAGTTAGCTTCGCGAATGGCCCAGAATGACTTTTGCAGGTTGTCGCCGAGGCATTAGTAATATATATGTAGAGAGAGAGGAACAGAGATCTATCGCGGGTAGCGAGTGGATGCAATTTGAAAAACGCTAAACCATAAATGTGGACAACTTCGAGAACTCGGTGGTATTTTTAACTGCGTGTCTGTGTTTTTCAGATCCCCCTCCACGGCCAGGCGTCGAGTGACTCCATTTGGGACCAGCAAAAGTCAGATTTACTCGATTATTATGAACATTCTGGCACGAATTTTCCACCTAGCCTACGAAAATTCCTTCCTGAATGCCGCCGAGAAATCGAAAAACGGCGATTTCTCGTCACCTGTCTTTCACTCAAGACGGGCCTTCGAGCGTCCATTGAGGATACCTCGGGTGCATGGGAAATCGATAATGTGAGTCTTTTGCCGCCTGGATTCACCCCTTTGTACGATCTTGTCGATAGGGGACGCCGAGGAGGTAAAGATCCTTTTAATAATCGTGAACGAAGCTGACTTAACCTTCGGTATTCATAGCATAAGACCGTGGTTGATCGATTAACGTAGTCGTGTTTTCGTCCGACGGGGTAGAGACGTTGCTGATGTACTGCTGCAGCCGAAGACGATCACAAGATGCCTAGGAAGCTTAGCGCGTTGCGTGTAGACATTGAATTTGGAAATATTCCCTTACCCGTGGTGTGACATTTTGTTTTGCCTTTCGCGTTTTAGCCGGAGCCCTTCTTTGTGACGCTCTTCCTCGCCAGTACAAGCAACGAGGGAATCCGTCTGACTGAGGACTTTTGCTGGAACCCCAATTCTCCTCTGATCGATGCTATGTTTCCCCCGGAGGCATTTAGGCGACTGCCCTGGCACTCCCACGAGGCTGGTGTTGCAACGACCCCCACACAACCCCCTACCATTCATCCACACGGGAACAAGACAATGGCTCCCCCGCCCCCTGTTCCACTGAATCCCCATGGCTCTCTCACTGTTATTCCGTCGAAATTGGCAAAATGTAGATCCGTAAGTACTTTGGTTATCTTAACCCCTGGAACGCACTAAGGAGTGTATTTCTTGTCCAGGTGGGATTTCGTATTCCTGCTTCTGCTTACCGCACACCGTGTATTCCTTTCACTCCAACCTCACCTTAAGATCTTGTATTGCTCTCTTCCACTCAAGGCACTCCTCTCCATCGACCAGGGTATTCGCGCGAATTCCCTCTTTCTGGTCTTCCGCGTTGACAAGGTCCTTGTTGGGGGCATCAGCCAGGCTGCGGAGAAGTACATGAAGGCTGCGGGCAACGCCAAGGATGCCGGCAACGCTCCCACCTCGAGCGATCTGAAAACGGGGGCCGCACTTCACAAGTCGATGCAGTCCTACTGCAAACTCCTCGGTCGATACCGGATGCCGTTTGCTTGGGGAGCAAGGTATGTTTGCCCCTCAAAAGACCTTTGTATGTTGATAGGTCGGGGTGAAATTGGATGTGGTCTTAGATATCTTCTGCGCCATGATGGAATTATCACTTTCTGTTCCAGATGGCTCTTCTCCAAGGACACGCAGGTGCCCCTTTTCAAGGTGGATTCTTCCAAGGTATCGGAAGTCGCCCTTCTCCAGTCAGTGCGACAGCTAGCTCGCCTCCTGACCTTGTCCAAGGACGCCACCAATGGGGACGCTGGCAAAACCGACGTGGTGCCTCTCACCCCGGCTGTCCTCGAAACAATCGAAAAGTCGATCAAGGCGGAGGTCCTCCCAATTCAGCTGCATGTGGCTGTTAACGAAATTTCCTACGACATCGTAACAACCTCCGTGAGCGGTCTGGTGTCACCACAGCTGGTGGCTGTCAAGCATTCACCTGAAGCGCCCCAGTCAAGCCAATCCATTAATCTCCTTCACGTGACCGACTTTTCGTCGGATGAAGTGGTGAAGGAGTTGGAGTTCTTCACGTCGCGCAAAATTCGCATGATGACTGGACAGCAGCCCTACCACGCTTTCGACCCGGGTACGGTGGCAGTGCTTTTATTCGTTTTTTTTTGCATTGTGTATATTACACTTTTCCTGCACGTATCATTGACTCTGAAGTCTACTTTTAAGTGCACAATTAAGTTCTCATGCTCGAGTGTATGCTAATTTGGTGCCCGTAGGGGTGCAACTTATTTTTCTCTACCTGTGCTCCATTCTTAACTGTGTGTTGTTGAACCTTTAGTGTGGAGTTTTACTTAAACCCCTGTGGAGTGATTTACTGAACTAATCGATTTTCGAAAAAATACGTTATGAGTTTGGCTTATCACCTTGTGACTCATTGCCACTTGGTTTTTGGAAATTAGTCACTTCTACCAGCGGTTATTCTCTATGTCGATGAGGGACATGCTACAGTGATGCAAATTGGATTGGTTAGGTAATAAGTCAGCACTGGAGAACCTTGCAATCTTCGTCTTTACTGCTAGAACTCATCGTTGTCGTTTGGATTTCAATCGGATGGTGGCCAACCAATCATCCCTTCGATCGATTTCTTGGTGAAAAAATCTATCTGAGTGGTTATATAGTCTCAGATTTTTTCTCGAGATTCACTTATGCTGACCTAGCTGATGTGGAATCATTGTATCCTTTCTGGAGGCTATAGTCGTGTTTCTCGTCTTTCCAATTTGCCAAATGTTCAGTGCGAAGCAACCTTCTTCCAAAGCTAGTTTTAACCCCTGGAATGTCATCTTATTTTCTAGTTTTAATTGACAATGGCAATAATCGAGAAAGTGTCATGCTCTTTGGCGAAAATAAACGCGATTCGATGTCATCCGTTCGCTCCGATACGTCTCAAAGCTCAAGCAGTGCCGCATACAGCGATCCCATTGGCAATTCCAGCACAAGCAAATTCCTTCGGCTGTCGTCCGTCCTATCCAAAACTGCATCTCTAGAACGTGGAGGAGTCAGCAGCTTATCTTCGAAGGGCCTTGAAGGCGACGCTGAGGAGGACTTGTTCGCCCAACCTCCATTGTCTCTTGTGGATCCGTACCGAAGCTTTGTACACACGTTGTACGTCTACCCAAGGTCGCTTAACTTGTCAGTAAAGCACGGATTTGGCAGGGTACGCGATTTCACCCTACTTTCTTTTCCCCCTGAAACCGTTTTTTTTCATTTCCTTATTAATTTGAAGCTCTGCGCAGTTTACCAAACACCCCTTCTAAATCCGCACCCCCGGCCGGATTTTCGTTACTAGTGTTTCAATAAGCACATGACATCTCTGGTCACACCTATTGAGGCAGTTCACTACTAATGCGTCCAAAAAGTATTGTCTCAGTGACCGCTTTTATGGCTGATATGAATTTCGTCATAGTACTTGTTGACATATCACCAAAGACTGTGGATCTGGAACAAGTCAGCCGCTCCCCTTACCTGTGATATCCCCTGTTAATCGATTAATCGCGAAATATCCTACTTTTGCCATGTTTTGCACAATGCGAATTGACGCACCGTGCGTTCAATCGGTGTCGTGGATCTTTGTAGATGTTGAGGGCTCTACAACCACTTCCGCTGAATATTCTGTTGTCGAGTTGATTCTGCAGGACTAACTGACGATCTGTCAAAAGTCCTAAAGTGCATAGCATAGCCTACCTAGATGTCAAGGTTGGATTGTGACCTTGAACAATTGCACTTAATAAAAGCCAAACGGAAGTGTCGCACAAGCGAAATAAAACCGTTTGGGTATTATTAAAGGGGATGTAATCTAAAGTTTACTTTGTATAACCTTGAGATCCGCGTTCTTGACACAGGGACCAATCGTGCTTTTCGTTATGTTTTCGCATAACTTTGTACGTCTGCCGTCAGCCTGTCTTTTTTTGAATATTATTCGCGATCATCACTTACCCGCATACCAGTGCAATGTTGAATAAATTGCAATTAACATCTAAGACATGTTCCTAGAAAACCCAAACCACCAACGGTAGTGCGTTTTCTAGCCATTGCCAGTGCACAAACCCAGAAGGGAATCTTCAGTCGTCCTTTTGCGTGTGTTCTATCTCACTGAGTCTCGTCGCTTTCCAGCTCATTTTCACTATTCACCGATACTTCAAACCCGTATTAACTCGACGCAGGTTGGCACCACATTGTACTCACTTTGATTGACCCAGTTCATGCGAAAATGCAGGGATTGTGTGGTGATCGTACGTTCACACAAAGATGTCAGCCTCGTTAAGTCCTGTATTTTATGGCATTGTGCACTCTAACACCACTAAATGTGGTGGAAGCGCCACTTCCCTTCTAACAGACAAAATTGTTCTGTCTGCGGTACCAACAAACCACTATGCTGGCTCCCCGTTGTAGGCCCGGAACCTTTGCTGCTTCATTGAACTGCGTGACAGCGACCTGCCGGATGCAAAGCCTCTTAAAGTGAGTACAGACTTGTTGCGTGTTCCCTGCAGGCCAGTTTCGCCAAACTAACTTTTTCTGTTGTATTCATCGTCAGGTATTCTACACCCGACCGTCGCCTCTACAGCCGCCGTTTGATACTTGGTTCAACACCAGTGTTCTGCATCACGATTCAAGTCCCACCTTTCTCGATGAGGTTTGTCTTTACGCAATCACCCTTAGTACTGACTGACAGTCACGTAAATGCCTAAAACTGTTTAGTAAGTGACTGTTTTTCGCCTTTTTGCAAGGCTAAACTGTGCCTTCCGATTCTCCTGTCCCGTCGCCATCACCTCCTCTTCCGGTTCTACCACGTGCGCTGCGATTCGGCAGCCAATCCCCTTGACAAGAACACCGGTAAAAAGGCCATCGAGACCCCGACTGGATTCGCGTGGCTGCCCATTTTGGATGACAATGGCAGGTGGGTTGCCAAAGGCACACGTCCAAGGAACCAACACGTAGACCCCTTGCTTAACACAAACCGACCAAGGGGACCTCACACAGACCGCTCTTACTGTCTCAACTAACATGTCAGAATGAACCCCTTGTATATGGCCCCAGCGACCTTGACTCGACGTGTTAAGAGGACTTACCAATGACGTGAAGTAGATGCCTCAGAAATGGTGTGACCAAGTGAAGTTGTGTTGAGGAAACAGTGACTAAATCTTAATCTCTTTCGTGTAAAACTTGTCTGGCACATCGACATCTAGTCTAGCCGTCGATTCTCCCACTGGTACATCTGCTGTTGTTAGTGGCCCCATTTAGTCGGTACACAATAGTTTGTCTTTTCAAGCAACCACGTTTTGTAAGTATATTTGATTTATTGGGTTTGTGGAAAGGCGATGTCCATTTTTTTAAAAAATGGAAAATAGGATTTATTGAGCTTTTTTAAGTGGAGATTACTTTTGGACCAATCGGGTATGAAGGGTCCATTCGCGTGATCGCATAACTATAGCCCCTTAGATATTCCTCGCTTCCAGATTTCCGTGTGAACAGTTTGTCCGTACTTGGTTGTTACAGGCTGCGCAAAAATTATCCCCGCGAAGGTCTCATTACGAGTTGTCAGTGCGATTCATAAAATCATCCATTTCTGTAAATCTGAGCCAAACATGCGTATGGTTTGTAGAATCCGGTAGACCTTCCTTTTTGACTGTGAATGTGAGCCGAGATCGCCGGTTTGAATGGGAAGCCGCTTAGAAACCCGTTTGAATTTACCGTTAGTTTGAAGTCTTGACTGTTCTCAGAAGATATTGTTATTCCTGTTTTCTTTGTCGTTCTAGCATAATTTCTGGACCAATGTCTCTCCCCGTATCACAAGATCTTCCGAATGGGTACCTGGGCTCCGTTGCCAAGTCCTCGGTTAGTAGACATTTCGCTCGGTGTATGCACTATGTCTCTCCTTCTTCCTCCACTTCAGCATAACACGAGCATCACTGTGCTGGTACCAGTGTTCCACCATTCGCCTTTGGTTGTTTCCTGGAAACATTTGGCAAAATCCCAAATCACAGGGCAGCAAAGCTCCTTCTTCGGACATATGGCCCTCGATTTCCGTGTTTACTCTCACGCTCTCATTGTCCGCGCTGCTAATGCTTGACGATGAAGTGGCTAACTGCTGTGTGCCCACGTTAGTCGGTCTCTCAAACCTTTTGATTACGTGTTTTTTTCCTCTAAATTTCGGTTCTAGCGAAGCTGCCCCGCATCGAACAGAAACGACCAGTCAAAGCAGAACGAAGTTGGGGCTGCAAGTCCCGCCCCAGAACCCACCTGGCTGGACAACAAGCGCCCCCTATTCTCGGTAATCCTGGAACCTGTCTCAACCATGTACACCCTAGACACCAAGTTGGCCCGGTTTTTCGCGCACTGCTCCCAGAAATTGTCGCTCTACACTACCCCCGCGTCTACGCCCACGAGTCCCGTCTCAAGAGTGAGTGTCTTCTCGCGAAATTCGTCTCCAATTTTTGACTTTATCAAACGCGTCTAGCAGATTTTAAACCGCGTTCTCATATCACTAAGTGATTTAATTAATTCCTTATGCTGGCGCTGTTTTTTTGGTGGGCTTCGGTCAAAATCTCTAATAGCCACTGGCGCACGTTTTCAAGTTTCTGCTGGCTGGTGGCACGTCTTTGTGAGGAGTCAAAACAAGCGCCTGAGTCATCTACTAAACTGCGAGGGTGTCAAAAGTTCTGCCATTGTTTGATTCATCCCCCCCCCCCGATTCTCCCCTATGTCACCCCAAAGTTGACATCGCATCTTGGTTGATATTTTGACCGTTTGCTAAGGTCGCTTGACGATTACCTCGTGCTTTTTTGTGGAACTAAATTTACGAACTGTGGAGCAGCGGCAATGACTTCCTGCTGTGTGAATTTCTGTTGCTCAGTACCGAGGTCGTGTTACATGCGTTCGTGACACCGATTCACCCATTACATCTCCATTCTTCAATGCTAGCCCTCCTGGAAAGGTTTGCCGCGTCAAAATAGCCAGTCTAATTCTGTCTAATGTAATATGGCGGTGTGGTGTTCGCTACGAATGCTTTGGATGATCCATTCAATGGTTGTCTTATTGCCAATCGTGTAGGCCGTTCGATTCATCACCGCGGATGACCGATCAGCCACCCCTTCGGAGTCGCTCTCCTTGATTGACATGACAACGGGCAAGTTGCTTAGCAACGCAATCAAATCTCTCCTGCTGGTGGAGAGCTCCGCGTTGGTGCAATTCTTTCCGGCGTTGGCGAACCAGATCCTCGAAGTGATTCTCATCAGCTCGGCGATGGGTCAAGTGGAGATTAGCACTCGTCTTCGTGGTGGTGGTGGCGGCGGCGGCGGCGAGGTCGATGAAAGCCAATGGCTCACTCTCTGTCAGGACATGAACCTCGGTGGACCCTGTGATTTGGCGAAAACTGCTGTGGGGTATGCGTGTTTGTTTAGTTTGGATTCTGTCTCATTTCGCCCAGATAATCCCCTGTTTTTTGTGTCTGTAGCACCTTCTCCGTTCTCCTCTGCGTCGTCAAGGATGCCCTCTGTGGCTCTACCTCAAACTCAACCCACAATTACACCACGAAACCCGCGCTTCTGAAGGATTTTATTGAAGTATCTACCTCTTCTCGCTTCTGTGACCTTTTTTTGCTTACTGTGCCAAAGGTTGTAGTTAAAATGGGCCTCCAAGTCCACACCAAGTTTTGTCGGTGGTGCTTTGCTGTAAAGTGGGTATTTCTGACCTGAAATCCCTACACCAAATCTGTCATGGTTTCTGCCTGTTCATGAGTTTTACCCGACTCATCAGGGTTCCATGGTAACCGAACTAGTTCTTGAACACAAGCGAAAGAGGGACCTCAGCGTTTTCTTTGGCTTTGAAATTCTTGAAGCTGGTGACGAAGCAGGTGGATGCTTTGTAACTTCAACTCAATTCCAGAATGTATGTATTTTGGGCGTCAATTGAGTCATAATCCACTGCAGCGAGTTAAGTAAAGTTGCCCTGATCACTTACAAAAAACTCATTTAAGTGGGATATTCCCTCACTTCAATTCCTCGTGTCGTATAGGAATACTATCACTCTAAGCCATTACGACGTTACATGATCCGACGCCATCTCTCTTAGCCTTTGTCTAAACTAGATTTTGGTTGGATCGGATTGATTTGAAATGGACGAAAAACGTCAAGTCCTTGGGATTTCATTCCCATTTCCAGTCAAGAATAAAAGGCATTTCACTTTTTTGTAAAACAAAATTGTCCATTTGAATGGACTTTGATGTGCAGAAGATGGCACCCAAGCTTTTGAGGGAGATTTTTTCGAGCTAAATGACCTGTCATCCTGGTGTGGTTTAGGCTAAGATGACGCCCAACATGGAATTTGTCTAGGTGTCAGAATATTTACGCCGCTTGAAGAGAGATAGAAGGCTCCATTTGTGTGCACGAGTCGATCTGGCAATATAGATATCCTGGGTGAAATTTCTGCTTGCGGTTCCTGCATCGCTGTCAAAGGTGGACAAGCCGAAACAGACGTTTGCGATGTTTCATTTCCACTTACAACGTTATGCCGTTCTCCTGACGGCTTCGCTGATGCTGTCGATCCCAGTGGAAATTGCCAATATTAAGGTCGTGTGGTACCCCGGCTAGAACATAGTTTCTTCGTCCTTCAAGTGGCTCCGGTCTTGATTTGTCGAGATCTCGTCTGAATTTTGCAAATGCCTTTTAATTGACTGCATTTACCGGCTATAAACATCTGCTATAACCATTTGTATCACTTTTTGTCAACGGAATTCTTAAACTTACCAATCATTCAGCTAACGTCATCAATCAGAATGGTGCACTATACAAATGGTTATGTGCATTCAAAAATAAGTAGAGGTAGGTAGCACCAGTGCAAAGCACTTCGGACGAATCAGTGCCTTGTCTTTTTATTTCCTGTATAGTTCTCCCTCGACCCCTACGTCATCTGTTCAACCGCCTCAGAAACCTACACAATCCCATCTGCCGGATCCAGTTCGCTGTTTCTGCATCACGCCGTCGTGCGTGGAATCGTGTCCCTCTTGGTAGACGTTAGCAGTCCCTCGGAAATCGCTCATCGGTTCTTCGTTAACGCCTGGTTCTTCTTTGGCGTTGTGATCAAGTCCCTTGCCCAGCACCTTCATGTTTCTAATCGAATTAAGGCGAGTGATGCTTAACTTCAGCCCATTCTGTACTTACAAATTTTGATTCGTACTCATTCGGTTTTTGATGGATTTATCTACTTTGTCCTTATCACAATTCCTAATGGTTCTACTGCAAAATTGTTCAAATTGGTTTTTCTACTCACAGATGGATCGGAAAGACTGGAATCGCCTGTCGCCGGCGTTCTTGGCTGACTTGACTGTCTTGATTAGACTCCTTGGCAAGTGGATGGTTGAACTCTGCTGCGATCGTGATGGACACCTCGCCGACGGAGTCGCTCACGACACACCTTCAACACGAAGTGGCCACGCTGCCTCCACTTCTTCCTCTGTGGCATCAGGGGACAATCAGGCATCCGATAACACCGCCTCAAAAGGTGCTCGTGTGGCCTCTTCAAAAGCCGCTGAGACCCTGGGCGTTGAGCTGGCTGACAGCACGGCGCAGTTTTTGGAACAGTTGCTTCTACTCATTGATCGAGGTTTCGTACTCCGAAAACTGAGGGACCTTCTAACCTTCCTGGAGATAAGACACAATATGGTAGTGTTTTCGCTTGACAATGTTGCTTGAATTCATTTCCAATGTCGCTGTCTACACTTGCACATTGCCTGTCTTGTAGTCGGCGTTTGAAGTCGATCGATTCAACTGCATCCGCTATCGCCTGTTGCAGCGTTTCTCTGAGACCCAGTTTTTTGTTCAAATCAACCTTCCTTCGTTGAGCCCTTACCTCTCAGGTTAGTTCGCCACGCCCTCCGTTATTGGTCACCTTTGATAGTCGATGGGTGCCCGCATCTCATATTCCGCGGTTCCCGCGCTTGTCTAGATCGCCGCGAAGAATTCAGCTTGAGCGAGCGCTTCCGTGAGGAGCACTTCATCGTGGGCCTCAGTCTGCAGCAGGTTTCTTGCGTCCTCGCCGGCTGTGCGGACGCCGGCGGCTGGAGTTCTGTTTCCTCGAGTCGTGTCTACCGACAACCGCTGCTCGGTCTGCTGGCACAGCTAGCCAAGTTGACCTTCGACCCACGCTACTCCACTGCCTCGAAGAGGACAAAGTCAAGGATATTTATGCTGTACCTGCCGTTGATAAAAATTGCGCTGGAAAATATCGCCTCCCTGGGCCCGCCAGGTATGTGCTTGAGTCATCAAATCTTGCAGTCTTTTGATGCTCGTTTGGCTGTAGGTATTTTGTTGTCAAGTAGATTGTTTACATTTAAGCTAGGTGTATGCGATATACCCAGTCAAGGCACACTGCCGTTGGATTGTTTAACTTTTACGCTTATCCACGGCGTCGCCTATGTTGATTTGCACTCTTTAAGTAGGAATGCTTACTATTCTTACGTGTAAAATGCAAAATCGCCAACCAGAGAGAATATCCACGACCGTGGAAAATCAAGCAGGCATTGGGTCACTAGGCCAAAGTCATGTATGATTAATTAGTGTGTGAAGTTAAACGGGTTGGCGTCACTGTGGGGCTTAATCTAACTAAAGAATCAATTGTCGTGAGTTGGGCTGAAACCGGTGGAGTTCCATCGGTTGGAGATTTGTGTTGAAACTCAAAAACGTGATTGCGATGGTCCGTCTGCACGCGGAAGGAGACGGAGTTGGCTTCAACCTAGGCCTGCCGTTTGAGGAGGCTGTTTGAAGTGTCTTGGAAAGCCAGTTTGTGACGATCTACAAAAACGGAGTTTTTTTACCCATTGGTTCAACAACAAAGACCTGGTTTTGCTACGATAACCATAGTAGGTGGGTTTAAGAGGCTGACGTGTGTCGTGTACAAAACACATTCGTGCACAAGGACAACGTTTTTTGTGTGTGTGGATCTGCGATCTGTTGCGTTTTGCTCTTAACCAAAGCCACAAACTCAACCGATACCCTAGATCTCTTGTCTGACGCTAAACCCCATCTTTCTACGCTAATTCAAGGCAAGACATGACCTCGTGCCAAGAGCTTTCGGCGTCCCAGCCACAGACCGCGTGCGCGTTCACATGCGCCCACGTATATATACGTGGGCGACCTTGGGTGTGGGTGAGAGAATTAGTACACTCAGTGGTGAATGGACCAATAGGAAGAAGGAGGGAATATGAATACGAAAGTCGGTGTGCATAAACCGTAGTTGATGGTAAAAAATTAAAAAAAAAATATAAAAATCTTGACAAGTGCCTTCTTGGGAATGCCGAATCCCCTACGCTATCGGTGGACGAGGTTGAGAATGCTTCAATTTATCCATTGTTTCTCAAAAGAGTGGGGATGTTTTGCTTTGGATAGCCGCCTTGCCATCTGGTGAAATGCTTAACGTTTTCAAAGTGGACATGATTGAACTGTGAGCTTTGGGACAGTGAACCATTGCGTCGATCGACGTTGACATCTGGTAGCCTACGTACTTGTGCCTCTATCGCTGTGATCATCACTCTCATTGCTCGTTCAGCTGAGTGCGCTTGGTGTGGACGAATTGAAAAATATCGTTTTTGGTATAAAAAAAAAGGAATTTAATTTATTCCCCTCTGCGATTATCTCCCCTTCCAGATTTTAGTCGCTTTGACTTCGTAGCATAAATATTACCCAGTATTCCAGACGCTGGAGTTTGAAATCGGTTCATTTGCCCTGTTTACTGTTCCAACGCAATTTAAGACTCCTTGCTTTTGATTTGTGTTTTAAATAGCACTCGTACAAGGCCTCAAGTGGTGTAGTCGTCCGCTTGCGAGAACAGACTTGATCTTTGACTTCCATCAATTATGCATCCGTGTCATTGCACAAGTTTGTGGTTTTTGAAATTAGCGGGCCCATTTTTGTGTCATAGTCCATTTAACAATTCACCCACCTCAAATAATCCAACAGGTTTGCAGTTGAAGTCCCTGCGCCAGACAGACAACGCTGGCGGCGCCGAGGGTGAGTCGGTGACGGACTCTTCAAGGCACCACAGAGCCAAGGGTCACAAACTCCACAAGATCCATAACAAGAAGCACGCACCCGTGACTTCGCGGCCGAACAGCCTTGTTCTGCCTGAGGGGAGCGACGGCAGTGTCAGTTCCATGTCCCTCGTGACTACCTCATCCATCGCATCGGGAGATAAGGAGTCATGCACGTCTGCCGATCGACGTTCAGCGGCTTCTTCGTACATCGGCGCGAATGGCAAAGTTGCCCCCGAGGTGCTCAAACAGATCGCCGGCTTTAACCAGGGTAGAGTCTTTTCTGTCCAAGTAGAAAGAAATGCCTTAGCGATGTTTTCCTGAGCAAACTCACCTCGTTTCAAAGGCAATCAATTCAACCGAGGAAACACCCCATATGGTTCTTCGAACTTTCTAGACCATCTAGAAGTGTGGGTGGATGAGATCAGGCTTATTCGTCTTAAAAGCGTGGTTTTCATGCTGATTAGTCTACACTGCTTATGATTGCTTTGCTTAGGTGGGTCCTTGCACCGCGTTGTCCAGCGTCGACGCGCACCTTGCCCGACACCGCAGGCTCAGTTCGGCAGCACGGCGACGTTGACTGAAAGCGCCGATGCAGATATCCCTGCTCCTGACGATGACGCTGCCAGCGACAACTCCTGGACTCTTAACGGCGTTGGCGACAATGGCAGTTATAGTAGCACCGCCGATTACAACTCAGACAGTGAGTCTCGTCCCATGCTCTGAATGATATTTTCTGTGGTTGAAAATAGTGTATTTACGTATGTCAAACGGTGTTTATGGCTGCCTTGACAAGGAGTTCCGTTGTGCTGGTGGTAGCTTGCATGCAGTAGTTTTTAGGGAGACCTATAGGTAATGCTCTTTTACACCTTCGACAAGCGTCCCTCATAATTTACTAGTAGTATTTCTCAAAACGTCTTTTCAGTTGACGAAAACGACGATGCCTGGGCAGAGCGTGTTCTCGAAGTGGCAGGCATCCTGCCCACTGAGCGGAAAGTCGGCAATGGTTTTGTCGGTAAACCCTCGGCCGGTGTCCTCCCACCTCCCCACGTGAACTCTTGTCCTCCTCCTCCCTCTCGACCTCAAAATGGGAACTCGAGGCAAGTGGGCTTGTTGTTGTAGTGCTGCCACACTTCCGGCAATTCCTCTCCACTGACACGCTCACACACAAACTCAGTTTTCGTATCCCACTACTATTCCTTGTAGAAGTCAAACTCAAAAAGCCTATTTGCAAATTCTAGCTTATGAGATTTCAGCGGCAGTTTCTGAACGACGATTAACCGTTTTTTGATGCTCTGTGAACACTTCGTCATCATGGACTGTCGAATGTAAGCACCGAGATGAATGTGCCTTGGGATTCGACTCACTCCTGCTGAACTCGTTCTCAAAATGACTAACAAAGGATGCTGTCATTTGCTAGCCAAGTAACCGCAGTCCAAAGAATGCATGATTATTTACAAACAGGACTATTGACTCGTTTCAAGTGATGTTTTTATCCTGCTTCGGCTGGTAACATGCCTGTAGTTACGTTTCTGCGTTGACGCGTATTGGTTGCTATTAGTTTGTAGTCAAACTTCGACCGTCTGGTGGTATAAAAGCCTTGGTCTGATGCCTTGGTAACTGCATTTTGCCAATATAAATCCCAGATTTGCGCATTTGCTTAAGGAAACGCTTTTGATCCCTAATATTTTTACTTAGGCGCGTCCCTTTACGCTCAGCAACGCCATCCGCAGACAGCGTCCCACCTTCTGCCCGACCCACACACTTCAACATGGACCTCTCCCAGTTTGACTGCACGTTCCGGCCCCACATTCATCGTCGCCTCTTGTGTCAGGGAACTGATCATCACTTGAACGACAAGTGTCAGCGAGATCTCTATGTCTGCCTCCTGCACCTACTGTCAAACCTAACCGACGAGCCAACTGCCGCACTGCTACGGAACCTCAACCCTCAGGAGAGATGTGACTTTCTCAAATTGCTAACGTAAGTGCCTAACGATTTCGATGAGTTGTATGCCCTTTGGCAACCTTGTGTCGAGCCCTTCAATGTATTTCGCTGCTTCAGGTTCGCTATCCGCCATCTGAAGTACCGCGGTCTAAAGTGCATAGCCAGATTCAGGTACGTTTCCCATTGGTGACATGACACCTTTGCAACTGGCGTTTAACATCTTCTCGTGCGGTTTTAGCTCCATCAGTGCGTGTACAGTCGCCCAGAGAGGCACTACGGATTCGTCCAGGAACACGGGAATCACTGCTGCCAAATCTGACGGTGGTGGGTATCGTTACTGCCTTATTTCACTTTCGAGGCCCCTTGTCCTGATTCTGCTCATTTTTTTCTGTGCTTTTTTTTCATTTCAGAATATCGAGCCCTGTTAGAGGCCAACTTAGTCACTGAAGCTGGGCTCATTGTTTTGGACACCCTCAACCTCGTATGCAACACCTTTCGCGTAAGTTTTTTTGATGTGTGATTTTATCTATCAACTCAGTAATTTCGGGTCTGCATCAACCATCTCTTGGTTGCGTATTGTTTTCTAATCATCAGGAAATCGATAAATTTGAGTAGTTCGATGGGTAAGATTTGTTCTAATGGCCGTGGGCTTGTTTGCAGGTTTTTGCAAACCACTTAGTGCCTGCTTGCATCCTCGCTCACAACAACTCTGTGTTTATGTTCTGGTTGTATAAACTTTGCTTCGAGTCCGGTTTTCTATAAAGCGTATCCATATATTCCCTGTAACCTGGACCATCTAATCGCGCAACTATGATGAAGTCATTTATTTTCACAAAGGAAAACTCTGTCGTGTATACTCTGAAATATCGTATCTTCCCCTACTGCGTGTTTTTGCATTGCGTTCACTTGGCTAAGCGAAAGCGCCTTTGTGCGTTTCCTTCTGCAGAGAGAGCTAGAATGCGAGAAGCCCTCCAGCGCGCTATTTCAGGGAATCCTCGATGTCTACGTATGCCTACTAACAACAGGACAATCCGAAGTTCTCCTCAAACACACCTTTTCTTCCCTCCGTGTTTTCATTTCTAGATTTGCCAGGGTGAGTTCTGTAGCTGACTGTCTAGTTACCAGGAGCTGGCACATGTCCGTTTGATGCATTGGCAGATTTGAGCACGCCCTGGTAATGCGCATGTCCGTTCGTCCGCAGGTTTTGTTCGCCGAAACAACTGACGGGTTGGCCAGGCTATGTATGGCCGCCCTCCGAACCTCCAACCTCAACCTCCTGCCCTCCTTGCCAGAGGAGACGCCGAACGAGGATCCACTCGCCTTCACACCCGTCAACAACCCCAGCGGAACGCCAAACAGTCGCTGCGCCTTCGACCAGTCCAGTTCTGTGAATATTGGCAACCTTCGACTGGAGGCGTGTGGACTCATCTATCGAATGTGGCGGTCGAGTTTTGAAGTTTTCGGCTCGCGTGGATTTCAGCGAGTTCATTTACAGGTTCGTTGAGAATTGCTCGTCTGACCATTCACGCCGTTACCATCTTTGGTCGGCACAATCGAAGATGAGGGATTGGATGGGTGCAGCACTGATTAATGCGCATTCCAGAACGCCGAGGCAGTCACATACAACACCGAAATAGTCCAATTAGCTTCTGTTAATGTTACGTTTTGCCCTTAATCAAGACCACATAACCGGTATCCCAGATCTCTCTCCACCTTCCCACGCTAATGCAAGACAAGGCAGGGCCTCGTGCGGATAGCTTTCAATACCTCCGCCAAAAGCCGAGTAATCTGTCTGAATGTACTCTTTGATCCATCAAGCCAACGATGACCTTGACCTGATGGATAAAAGATGATTAACACAGATGGGGCTGTCAGTAGGTTGCCGCGGGTTACTCCCTCACTGACGGGTCGTGGTTAGGGGAATTGTGTAAACAACGACGATGAGTCGTCCATGGGGAGTGCTGGATCCCTAACAATTAATTATTGGAAAATGTCTAAGTGTCGAGCAATCCAATGTCGTGTTTCTTGTTTTAATGAGCCAATTATTGTTCCATGCCAAACAATGTTTCGCTCTGCCTCCATGCTAGATGATCATCTCCTTGTCTAAGCTGGTGGGTGATATCGGCCCCGAGTTTGAGACAAGCCTCAGTCTGCTTCACAGCCTGACTGAGATGGACATCCAACGGGGCTCTCTCGGTGATGACCCCTCGCACTCGCGATCAATAAGCCAAGTGGCCTCCTTGCACACCCCCTTCCGAGGATCCAGTGCAAGCGCCTTCATTGAGGGGATCGAAGACCTCATCAAACGGATCCGGACGGTTCTTACGGCGACTGATGAAATGCGGACCTACGGCAATGACCCTTATCGCAAAATCGATTTGCAATACTCCCTAGCCAAGTCATACGCCAGCAACCCCGTGCTGAGACGGTACGTGTATTGTTTATTTGGTGTATGACTTCCAGCTTAAAATTATATTGTAAATATTCTGCGGTCTTTTGTGGTTGTGAAAGAATCGGATTCGAGGTTTCAGAACACCTAATGGCAAGTCTGCGTGAGTTGCATAACAGAGTTTACGATGGCACTGCACGTTATACGAATCCTACCAAGGAAAAAGTTCTTCTAAAGCACGGGTGAGACCAGTTTGTAGTGTGCTTGGTGCCGACGTTGTGTCGAATGAAACGTGGAGTTATTGGTGTAGACATTTTAGAAGTGGCGATTTCGATCATAGTGACCAGGCGCGCAACTGGACAGCAGCCTCAAGCGTTTGAAGATGCGCAATTGCAAGCTCAACTGAATGAAGACGAAACGCAATAAGAGGTCGCAGCTCAGTTTGCAGTCATCACTCAAACAGCTACTTCAAGGCGTTCGCACCGCCAAATGCAAAAATTAATTCAAAAACTTGGAAATTGGCTCCCCCGAAATGTGTTGATCAAACACAATCTAGGTCAAAGTATCAAAGCAGGCTCTTCAATGCTTGCTCGCCGACAACAACAAAGGACTTTTTGTGGAACATTATGACGCATGGTGAAAAGTAGATTATTTACGAGAATCCTAGGCGTAGAAAGTCGTGGGTAAATACCGACTAATCCAGTTCATCGACGCGGGAACAGGACATCCACTTGAAGAAGGTTCTTTTGCGTATCTGTTGACACATGAGGAGCGCGCTTTATTACAAACTCCTGGAAACCAGTCGTCAGACGGTGACTGCGGAACGCTACAGTCAACAATTGAGCAAACTGTGCAAGGAACTTGATGAGAAAAGGCCATTTGCTAGACAAGGAAACAAGCAAGCCATACTGCTGTTGCATACATGACAACACTCGACCTTACGTTGCTCTTGCGACTCAGAAAATCCTCTTGAATTCGGAATGGGAAGTTCCCCCACACGCGGCATGTTCATCAGACTTGGCCCCATTTCTGGCTGCCATTTTTACGGTCAATGCAGCAGCAGCAGCATGCCTTACTGGATAATTCGGCGTCAGTGATTTTATTGCCTCGAAGCCTGCAAGTTGGTTTCGTGACGCCATTCGTAAGTTGCCTGAGAGATGGCTCAAGGTCATAGCAGACGATGGATAATGTTTCCAATATTAACTTCGTTGTTCCCTGCTTTGTTTTATCAAATAGATTTGCTGAAAAATCTGTAAAATCAAGTCATGCACGTAATACCAACTGCATCCTCACTATCAGCTGAAAGAAGGCATTGTATCTTCTCGTTTTTTTTCCGCGCAATAGAACTTGGCTGGAGAAATTGGCTGAGCTGCACTTGGCCTCGAAGAACATGGCCGAGGTTGCGATGGCGAAACTCCACATCGCTGCACTCATGGCTGAGTACCTGCACAAGAGAGGTAAGCCGTCGGCTTGTGGCGTTAAGGTCTCTGAAAATTGTGCAAATGCCTCAAGTCATTCGATCTCACCTAACAGGTTTACTCGACAGTAAGTTCTGTTGCCCAGAAGGGAATTCCTCACGTCCCCGTGATTCTCGGCATCCTGATCGGCTTGCCTGGCGCACCTGATTGTTATTATTACTGTTATTGTTGTCGAGAATGCCTTAATTGTTGTGCACTTTTTTGTCAAGGAGAATTCCCCGAGGGTTGCGATGCTTTCTGCAAGGTATCTGCGAACATCCGTGTTGAAGAGGCATGCAACCTGTGCGACCCGGCGATCCTTGAGTTGTCCTACAACCAGGCAAGCGTCGTCGTGCTTTTTTTGACAATTTAATGTCTATTTGGGGTTATTTTAGATATTAGTGAGCCTGCTTGCGAATGGTTTTCAACCGAAATGTCCGTTAGAGGCGCGTACAATTGTTGAAGTTCGTTGAATTCACAGCTGACGCTTTTCCGCAGTTCATGCCAGCACTTTATTGGGCCTCTTTGCTTAATTCGTTTGGTGGTTCATGACCTTGACCTCGCCAATAGTCACGCGGTGAACTGCAGTGAACTGGTTGCCACTATCTTCCGTTGCTCTCTTGCTAATTACTTAACACCTTGTTGTCAGCTTCGAACCAGGTTAAATGTTGCCACAGGAGACTTCGTTAGACCCAGGCTTCTCTGATAATTTTAGTTCCATGCAAACTCTAGACGGGGCTTACTGTGGAGTTGCGTTGTTCTTTGGTAGTCTGTTGGGCAACAGCACGCGCGGAACTGTTTTTACCGACCTCTCGGTTACTCCCCAGCCCGCATTTTCATTTTCCATCCTCTTTTTGCAAACAGGAGGATCTGCTGAAGGATGTGACGGACGCCGCGATGGCACTTGAGGCCGCCGGTTTGTACGAGGCCCTTCAGCCCGTCTACGCCCTCATCACCCCTGTCTACGAGACGCGACGCGATTTCCTCTCATTGGCGCGCATCTACCATCATTTAGGAAGGGCGTACGAAAACACCGCAGAAGCCGAGGCCTCAGTTCAACGCCTCTTCGCCACGTACTTCCGTGTTTCGTTCTACGGCAAGGTGGGTGGTCACGATGACGGCGAACTTCGTGGCGTTTGTTTCCGTGCTGTAGTCCTATGTGGTTGTTTGCACCCCCTTTCAGGCATTTGAGAGTCTTGCTGGCAAATCATTTGTATATCGTACCGAGGCCTGCCAGAAACTCAATGTCTTTCTTCAAAGTCAAGTCAAGATACACGAGGATCGACTGGGCGTGGGTCGTGTCGAAAAGATAACCGAGAATTACGTCAATCCATCCAAACTGTCGCCTGACAAGGCCTACATCCAGGTCACCTTCGTGGAACCGTACATGTCGAATGACAGTTTGAGTCAGCGAACATCGTTCGACTTGCACCACGATGTTCGGGAATTCTTCTTCGAGACGCCGTTCATCATGCAACCGGGTGGGTTTGTTTTCAATGAAGACATCTCGTACCAAGTCGTCAATTCTGCACTTTCTTGCTGTCTACTGGCCTCCTCCCACTCTACCTTGACAGGCATGTCTGCTGAAGACTGTCTCCTAGCGCCGGGTCCGAAGAGGACCGACGACTTGTCGGCACAGTGGAAGCGTCGAACTAAACTAACAACCGAGGCTGTATTTCCTCACCTTCGCTCGCGTCTCGAGGTCGTCTCCACTCGTGACTACGACTTGTCCCCACTGGACTCCGCGATCGATGCAATCCAGGTTAAGGTCCGCGAGTTGTCTGCGCACATCCCCTGCGCTCCCCAGAAAACTGCCAACACCTTCGGTATGTCCAGTGTCACGTTCGCCATCAAGGTGGCATGTCTCCTTGAAGCCTGGTATAAAATTCCGTGGTGCTTGTCCACTATCTCTTGCTTCTTCTTCCTGCACTAGCTCTCCACCTCTCAACCACTAAAAACCAGCACGGTGTTCGCGTCGTCGCAGCCTCCACACCGAACGGCGTGGGGGTGACCTCGAAGGGCGAGCGTCGAGTGCCCCTCCTGCTGGACATGCAGCTGCAGGGCGCCCTCTTGCCCACAGTCAACCAGGGACCCATGGCCTACGCCCACGCCTTCCTTGCTGCCGACAAGGCGAAGCTTCATTCACCAGACAAAATTCAGCGTCTGAAGAAATTGTTCTTGTGAGTGCATCTGCTGCTGCTGCATTAGCTAAAGTATCATTAAGATCTTAGCATCTATGATTACTCACATACTATGCACTTTTACTCTGGAAATTCTGCCATTTAAGGAAACATAATCTTTTAGTTCAGTGTTAAGATTGGCTTAACTTTTGTGCAGTCTTGCCAGCAGCCATTTAAAAGTATTACTGATAATCTGCACTAAACGGTCTATATTCTATCGGTTTTACGATTCCAACTACCTGTAACAACGTAGTACAATGCAAACGTTTAAAATCTCTAGCTGATGTACACACCCACACGCTAAATCGTAACCTTTCTCTCTTGCACTTTGGTGGTTTCAGCGATTTCCTGACCACTTGCCTGATCCTCCTTACGCGTTACCGGTCCCTCATGCTGAGAGTACACCCCGAAAAGTACAATGCACTTCGGGAGTCATTGGACCGATATCGGGTCGAACTAAGCAATTTGCTAAACGAAGAGGTGAGTCCTAGATTGTGATCCCTTTCTCCACAACGTTCCCCTTATTTTGTGCCTACTTAGCAGCCAACTTCGACTTCAATAGTGCCCTCCTGGCACTGAAATCGTTCTTGGTAGGAGAAGAAAACTGTCAACTTAAACACAAGAGTCCGTCGAAGCATGATTCACTCATTCATTGGGATTCCTGATGCCACTAGGCAGGCAATCACACATTTCGGACACCGTGTTTGCCTTTAGTTCAGTAAGCTGTGCAGTTGCCCAATGGGTGAGTGGTGCTGGGAGACCAAAGATTTGCCGCCTCAAAATGGACGAATCACTTCCAATCCACTTTTATGTCATTTGTATCCGATAATCCGGAGGGGAATTCGTCTTCTGTGGCCAGGAGTCGCATGATAATTCCTTCATTTGAAGTGGCCCCCCAAGATTGTAGCATTGAATAGCACCCTTGTTTTAATGCCCCCGAACACCATCATCTGTCTCTTTATCCCGGTCAAGATCATCGTCTAAACTCAGCCCATTTGCATCGAGATAGTTGGCCAGCTCTTCACACCGTTAAAATGTTTAGCCTTACGGGCGTGGGGGTAGCCGGTCCCAGCAAGTTAGTTCCTCCACAGATTCACCAGAGCAGTGTTGCAGAAATATCCGGCTCCTTACTCGAAGTATCCGTTGACCTGCCAAGGATCTTCACAGCGTCATGCACTTAGTCAAGATAACACTATTTTTAGTTTCGATGGCGCTTACCCGACGCTGTGACCGCAAGTTGACGCCACCAGTGCCGTATTTTCAATCACACGAGTTCCCATTACGGACCAACTAGTGATATAGCTTTCAAGTTTACTGGTAACCTGCTCCGGCGTGAAAACCCTTTTTTTATCAACTACTACTTACATGTGCAAACTTCAATCTATCTCTACGCAAGTGTCAGAGGATTACCACCTGTCGTAAATGACTCCCTCCTACGATTGCTTGCTTTTTCTCATATTTTTAAGGTCATCGTGGACGAAGCGCGGCTGCAGGTTGGTCCCAAGTCTCAATTTTCTGGGGCCTAACACGCTGGCGTGTGTGAGTACTTCGAATTCCCAGCCCCCTACCAGAACCCCCTACCTTTGCCGTTAGATGACTCTCCTAACTTGCCGCTTTTACCGTCTTCGTTTTGTTGCCAAAATACCCGTCTTTCCCAAGGCCCCAATCCCTTTTGCTAAATTTTATGCTTACTCCTTTTACTGAAACAATAAATGATATCGCCTGCTGAAAGAATCGACGCCACAATGGCAAGTTCACGCCGCCAGTTTACTAACGGTCGATTTCTTTACGAAGGCTCACAGGTAGCTCGTAAGACAGGTGTCTGCCACTTGTAAACCTTACCCGGGCTGTGTTAGCCGAATCATGCTTTACGATATCTTTGCGTAGGGGCATATTGGAATAAAACACAAAAAACGCGTAACCCCTTTCGTGTAACTGCGATGAAAAGCCCCACACTTGAGGTGGTGTAACGACTGACTAATGTGAGAACGAAAATGGTTCGCAAACTCGCATAATAACCTCACACTGTATGGTGAATACCTTGTGTTTAGGAGGAAGCACTAGGTAAAATAAGCCAGGGCTTCAAACTGTGAGTAGATTGTAAAATTGGCAGTCACCATCCCCAAATAATTATTTAGTTGCTAGTATCAAAAGGCATGTGATTTATTTGTTCCATTAACAAATTAGACATCGGGATGCAAACTGCTGGGTGCTTGTATAAAGAATCCACCAACAGACGGCTTGAAGGCATTTGCACTCTTCGCCATTGCATCGAATGTAACCTTCTCTTTGATATTGGTTGACTTTACAAAGGCCTTGTGATTGTTGATAAAGATCCACTGTTTATCGTCCGCATCATCCTTCGGAAGTAGTTTCCACCGACGAGCTTCCAGAATGGACTTTAGTTCCTCATCGGAGTTGATGTCAAGCAGAGACATCAAAAGTGGCTTCGAGATCCGCTGGTAGGTGGCATCAACCACGTAAGCAATGACTAAGGAAAAATGAATGCAGGTTTATTAGTACGAGGACTGGAAAAGTGACAAATAGAAGGTAATCAAGGAAATACAATGGGCCTCAAACGTTACGCCTCATAAGCTTTCCTTCTACTAAGAGATATCTGGTACGCAAACTGTCGTGATTTCAAATTACGGTTACATGTGTGTGGAATCACCCAGCCATGTAGGTTAAAGTTCACCAAGGTCTTTGTAATCGAAAAAATTGGCTTTCCTTCGAAGCTTAAGTGCGACTCAGCAAGTTCAGGTTGAGCTTGTAATGACTGCATCGCGAGATTTTGATCACGTTGCTACGACGTGACGGTGTGTAAATTGGATCCACAAGGCAAAGTAGGCATTGCTTCTTAAAAACTAAATTTTACTGAAGGCAGATATCCGACAACCACACAAAAATGCACCAAATCCCTCATGTGCTCAAACGGGCAGTGGAGCCCGCACATGAAGACCGTCAGTCAGGGAAATTAATGCATTCAGTTTCAATGCAATTGAACTAATGCAAAAAGGCAATGCCATTAAGACCGAAAATGAGAGGCTGTTATAAAATGTAGAAAACTTACAACTCCTCACGGAGGTCATCCAATCTGAGATGTTTCCGACAACGTCCCTATTCTCATGATACGTTTCCCAGAATTTATGAAACTGACAAGTTTCGAGAAGGGTCCCCAAGTCGATAATCGTGCTTAAGGGTTCTTCCTTAAGCTGGCAGGATAAAATCACCCTATCTGTGTGAATAAGATATTTGCAAAGCGTGAGATCTGTAAAAGGGAGATTCGTGATTGCCTTCAGCAGAATCAGCTTAACGGCATCCACATTAAAAAGATCGGGGTTGAACTGATAGCTTAAGTGAATTAAATGTTAATTTAGACA